TCCAAGCTAGTTTGGTTCGGGTTCCTACAGCCAAAAGCTTAGTGACATTGGTTAAGATTATCATGCATCAGTTCACAGACAGGGAAAGGGAGACGTGAAGATGTACGAGGTGGCCCAGCCAGGGGAAGGGTCGCTGCGCTGCTTCCCCAGCCAAGGGTCAGACACAGCCCTGGCACGCCAGCCATCACTACAACACATCACACAGCATCCTGCTTTTCGTCCTCTCACGGGAGGCAGGGAAAGGACCCAGGCACACCCACCACCTCTTCCATTTTCAATAGACGAGGAACCAGAGGCTCCGAAGCGTAAAGGGAATGGCTCCATCACACAACCAGCTACACGTTCTTGTTCGCACACCAAACGTCCGGAACAGGAGGTAAAGGTGTGACCAAGAGTAATAGTGGGGCTGGTGCTGACGGAACACAGGAAGACAAGGCCTCGAGCAGGGCTCCGTCAACCCACCGGGTTCTCCTCAGGACATGGCCTTCACAGTCATGACCAGATGCGCGTCTCTTCACGGACCTGACAGGTTCATGGTTAAGGCAGCGATTTTACTTAGGTATGGAGGAAACACAACTCACTCCAATCCGCTATTATCCAAAAAAAGAAGCCTGGTCAGATAGGACTCGGGATTGTTAACAGAGAAGACCAGTTACAAAGAGGCCCAAGTAACAGAAGGAACGTATTAGTTCATGTAACTGCCAAGTCCAGAAGAACAACAGCTTCCGGAAAGGCTGGATCCAGGAGCTCGAGGTCTATCATTAGAACCTGCCAGGTTGTCTCCATTTTTCACTGTGTTGTTGCCATTTGGGGTCAGAATCTTCCCACATAGCAGCAAAGACTGCACCCAACAACTCCTGGCTTATAGTATAACCTTCTCAAGAAGGCCCTCAAGAAGACCTCATCAACCTGGCTACATGACCTTCTGTGAGCCAATCACAGTGACCAGGAAACAGAACAAGCCGGCTGCCCAGGCCTGGTCCACCTACCCTGCTCTGGAACCCAGCTGGGCAGTGGTAGGGTCGTTTCCACCGAATCACACACAACGGGAACGAAGAACCACACCCACCAAGAAAGACTGGGATAGGGTCTACCCCAGGGGGTGAAAGAATCCTGGTGGGCATGGAGGGCAGCCTCCAAACTGACCTCCAACGACCCCTGCCTCGTGGTCATCACATTCATGTGTAGACTCCTCCCACACTCAACCAGGGTTGATCTTTGGGACCACAGAGAACAGTGAACCTGATAGGGTCTCACTCCCAACATTAGGTTGCAAGAGACACCGTGGCTTCCGGGTGGGGGAGGTGCTCTCGCTCTCTGCTTACTCACTCCGGGAAGCCAGCTGCTGTGTTGTGAGCAGTTCTACTCAAGAGGCCCTTGTGGCAGGAACACAGGCCTCTCACCAGCGGCCACACCAGTGAGCTCAGAAGCTGACCCTCGAGTCCCAGCCAAGCCATCAGAGGACTGCAGCCTTGTGATCGACTCTGACGGACCACCTCCCAGCTGAGCCATTCACAGATTCCCAACCCACGAGAATTGTAGAGGACCCTGGTTTTGCGTTTTAAACGGCCAAGCTTAGAAATAATTTTTTACACAGCAAAAGCTACCTAATAAAATGAGCCTAAACAGACAACAGGCCAGCAAGCGTCCAACAACCCAGGTCACTTGCTTCTCTCCCAGGCAGTTCTCACGGAAAGGTCTTCTTCCTGTGAACACCTGTCTCATCACTTGAGCATTCTTAATTCAGTAGGAAGGGAGGCAATCATTTAGGGAAGGAGATTCACATGCCCTGACGTGCTGCTGACGGTAAACACGTCCACCTCAGGACTGAGCAGCGGCTTGGGGCCCTAAAAGCACTGGGCTGGTTTAATGACCTTGTTCTTGGCTGAGCCACGACAGCACCAAGGAAAGCCATTAATTTTGAGCAAAAAGGAATGTGATAAAATGCTGGATTTGTTCTGGGGTTTTCCACTTGTGCAACCACACTCAGAGCCAGTAAAACACACATCCACACGAACACCCTGAGTACTCCAATATATACAGCAGAAATAATTTCACCTCTTAGGGTCTGAAAGAGCCTAGCATTTAATTCTTTCTGCACCACTGCCATTAAAATTTAGGTTTTGATTAGGTAAGGTTTCTTAGTAATGTAATTATTGTACTAAAGAAAAATGATGGTAACATTTACTGAGCATTTATGAGGCACATTTACTGAGCCGACATATGGGTTCTCATTTAATCCTGCAACAACAGTGAGGTACAGGATTTTCTTATCCTCATCTGACAGCTAAGAAAACAAAGAATTTAAGGAGCACCTGGGTGGCTCATTCAGTTAAGAGTTTGACCTTGAAGGGAGTCTGGGTGGCTCAGTAAAGCATCCGACTTCGGCTCAGGTCACCATCAGGTGGTTTGTGGGTTTGGGCTCCAAGTCGGGCTCTGTGCTGACGGCTCAGAGCCTGGAGCCTGCTTTGGATTCTGTGACTCCCTCTCTGTCTGCTCCTCCCCCACTCTCTCTCTCTCTCTCTCAAAGATAAATAAACATTAACAAAAAAAGAGTTTGACTCTTGAATTCAGCTCAAGTGATGATCCCAGGACTATAGGATCGAACCCCATGTGGGGCTCTGCACTGAGCATGGAACCTACTTAAGATCCTCCCTTCCTCTCCCCTTCCTTCCATTCACACCCTCTCTTTTTAAAAAAAATTTTTTTTTAGTGTTTATTTATTTCTGAGGCAGAGAGAGACAGAGCATGAGTGGGGGAGGGGCAAAGGGAGAGGGAGACACAGAACCCAAAGCCTGGAGCCTCCGAGCCGTCAGCAGAGAGCCCGATGCGGGGCTTGAACTCACAAACCATGAGATCAGGACCTGAGCAGAAGTCGGTCGCCCAACCGACTGAGCCACCCAGGTGCCCCCACTCACACCCTCTCTTAAGTGAGGGGGAAAAAAAAAAAGCTTTTCTTTTCCACTCATGGGCTAAAATTCTCCCCAGAATTATCAGGTCCTGAAACACACTTACTGTAAAATACACCTACCCGCTTGTGTCTAGGGCCTCATGTCCTTTCAAATACAATCATTTTGTCCTTTCTGTTGCATACGACCATCCTAGTTCGCAAACGAGGAAATGCACACTCATTCCCACTAAGAAATCACCCAGAAACACACAATCTGCAAGCGATGCAGCGGGGACTCCAGGCTAAGCCGACTCCTGGCACAACCCAAGAACGACCGAGAACAGAAGTCTGTGGCTCAGAACCAGAGTCTCTATAGACGCCAACCTTTATTGTAAGCAAACACAATGATAACACGGTTTCCTGGCGTGGCCAGGCTAAATGGTGGTCCAGGGGAGAAAACCTAGGACTGGACTCATCATAGTCCTTTAACTGTCGGATGCTCTTGAGAGGTCACTGTAAAACATGAAGACGTTCTAATTAAAGTTAGATACGGGATCATGGCACCACCTCTCGAGGACATGTATGTAACAACTCCATTAGTGCCACATCACCCATCAGCACCAGGGCAGTAAATGCTGCTATCGGTTACCGAGCTCTGGACTCCCCTACATACCCAGACAACCCACCTCCTGGTTTTATTTTTAATGTTTATTTATTTTGAGAGAGAGACAGAGAGAGCACGCACGCACAAGCAGGGAAGGGGCAGAAAGAGTATGGGGAGAGAGAACCCCGAGCAGGCTCTGGGCTGTCAGGGCAGAGCCCAATACAGGCCTCAAATTCAGGAACCGAACATGACCCTGAGCTGAAATCAAGAATCAGACGCTCAACCGACTGACCCACCCACGTGCCCCTGGTCTTATTTTCAAGTAGCTTTAAAGAACCACCAATGAACTGCTTATCTTACCTACAAAAGGCAACAAACCCAAACTCAAATGTCCAACAAATGGAAGTTATTTTAACGTGGGACATTAACTCAATGAAAGGCCACATCCGGGCATGTAAGTCATTAACATGAAATGGAAGTTGTTCAGAGAAGCAGACTGACAAAGCGGAGTACCTAACGATCTTTACACGTGAACAAATTCAGGAAAATCCACATTTTTATCCGACTGGAGATTATGAGTTTTCTTTAATGAAATATAAACTAAATCACAGCCAAGGAAATAAAATGGCTCTTTAACAAGAAGAGGCTTAACCTTACTCTTCATCAGGAAAACGCAGACGAAGATTCTGTCAGGGCCACTTTTTCCCGGTGATGTTGTCCGGGACCCACAGGGGGGGGACGCGGCCCCTTCGGGCCCAGACGGGCCGGAGCAGGCCTCTTGGCTGCTGTTCCAAGGTACACGTTGGCCCAGCCTCCGAGGAAAGGGGACAGGTGCCCTCCACTCACCTTAGAAAACTATGGCACCTGGACCCAGCAATTCTACTTCCGGCAGTTTTTCCAATAAATATAGTCATAGGAGAATCAAGTCACAAACGCAAATCACTGCGGCATTACTACAAACACCATCATCAGCAAAGGGTCACAAACCACCTCCAATGGCTGGCAGTCGGCACGCGGGTCGGATGAACTCTGGCGCAGACCGAGAAATGTCAAGAGCTTTCACACAGCCGGCAGGCCCCCGTGCACCCCCACAGAACAAGCTCCGTGAGGCCAAGTGAGTGCACTGTACAATACACGACCACTTTTCATGAAGGGGGGAGGGGGGAGGGAGGAGGGAGGAGGGAGGAGGAGGTGAAAAGAAGAAACGAAGTGGCCACATGGAGCTAAGGAGCGTCTCCAGAATCGCTCCCACGGCCCGCCTCCGGGGGGCCAGAGGGGCGGCTGGGGATCACTTAGCCCTACCTACTGCCCCTCGCGTTTTGAACCGTGGGCACACACATCATTCGGTACTTATACAAAAAGTTACATGAAGGTTTCAAATGCGCTGATTTCCGTTGGTTTCTTCCTTTTCTTTTTTTTTTTCATTCCAAGCGCCAGTGAAGGCCGTGCCTGGGTTCTTACCCAGCCGCCGCCCACGCCCGCCTCTCGGGCCCTCCGCCCCCCTACCTTGCCAGCGCCTGGACCTTCGTGACGTGCCGCTCTTCCTGCTCAGCCACCTTCTTTTTCAACGCGTCAACCTCCTGCCGGAGTGCAGCGGAATGCTCCATCTCACCGTCGAGCAGGTTCCGCAAGGACCTGGGAAGAGGGGGCCCGATCCGTTCAGATGCCGTCGGCAGAGTCCACTGGGCCAGAACACAGCTGTTTACGCAAGTCCTAACCCCTCCGTTTTCTCCAGGGGCCCCCGCAAACTGGAGTCTCGCATCAGGGTATTTACAGAGATCCCAAACTCGGCTTAAGGGCCTCAGAGTAAGGAGGAGGACGTGGCCCGGGATCTGTGTCCCCGACAGCCCGTAGGATGGGCCCATCAAGGGGAGACAAAGAGTTCAGAGAATCCCAGGCAAGCCCCTTTCAAGGCATCCCACCCAAAGGGGCGGCACATTAAGGGAGACCATTTTGTGACAGTCACTCCAGAAAAGAGACAGGAGCGGGTACCAGGACAGGCCACACGCGTCCTCTGAGACGTCCGTGAGGAATACCGACAGAGGCCCACCCTCAACTCCAAAGCTGCCCCAACGTACGCTGTAACCCTGCCCCTTGCCATCTCCAGGTGAAAAAGACAGATACAACATTCTATGGAGCGGTCTAGTTAGACATCACGTGGATCCCGTTTCACACTATGTTTGGGAGCTCGCCCTCCAAAATACGTCCATTTGTTGGCCACCCTTGGTCTTGCAAAGCAAACAAGATGGCAGCTCTTCCAGAAATAACCACCAAGGTTGCCGCCAAGGAGTGAGCCATACATGGTTCTGATGGTCTCATGGACCTCAAATGGCTATTTCTGGCAAACATGTACTGACTTTGGGGCACCTAACATCCTAAATCTGTACACATGCCAGCTGATACCAGGATAGATGCACAGGGATGGCGGTGAGCTTGGCACGCACCCAGCCCTGTCGCTCATTCAACTCTGAGGCCTGTGTTCCTTCAGGGTTTTGAGAAAATTCCCTTCCTGGGGCCCGGAACCCCCCAACACAAACATGGTGTGGTTCTTGTTTTTGTTTTCTGGAAAGGAGAAATTAACAGACAGGGACTATTTTTCTTCATAAGGTAAGACAAAACCTATGGCTTCTTGCAAGAGAACAGTTCCAGCTGCAGCAAGGAAAAACAATGCTCTAATATCTACAAGCCCCTCCTTTTAAAGCCCCTCCTTATTTTAGTTGGACAATCGTGCTGTCTAAAGATCTCTTTTTTAAAAAATTATCTTTTGTTTTTAGAAATCATGCTTGTTTGCTTTTATGGGTTTCCATACAGGATGGGGAAGAAGCTTGGGAAGCAGGGCCCAAGAGGAGGTTTAAAAAGGACAATTGTGATGGGTTGGCACCACGGACACCGAATTCCTACTCTGAGGGAAAGAGTGAGAAAGGCCCAGGAACCCGCACGTGCAGGCTCACGTGGGCACCTGCCCGAACCCCCCAGGACGCAGCACTGTCAGGCTCATAGAAGCCTCACCGACAACTGCGGGCAAATCCTTCCACCCACCGCCCTGTAGCCAAGACAAGGTCTTGGCGGTTGAGAAGTTCACGTTCAAGGCAGCCAGGTGGCAACGACGTGGCCATCTACCATTGGTTTCAACGGGAAACCACACACGAAGAGAGCCCTGCTCCTTTCTCCATCTGCAGGGGGCCTTACTCTGATCAAGCAGCCGGATTCCAGCCTGCCCTGGGTACCCCCGATTCGAGAAAACTAAGTGTCTGAATGCTCAGAACACGGAAAGATAGGCTCTCAGTTTGAAGATCATTCTAAAGACTGCTCTAGGGGGGGAAGGAGGAAGACTTCAAGGAGGGGAGAACGTTCTCAAGCGGACCTTGGTGATGGCTGTGTATGTCCGCAAACACCGAAAACCACTCAACTGTACCCTTTAAGTGGGTCGATGATGTAATGTGTGAATTGTATCCCAGAGGCTCTTTTACAAGAGAAATTTTTTAAAAGACTGCTTTACCAAATTCTTAGTTTGTTCCAAGGTAGAGCCCGGATCGTAAGGTTTCCATCCTCTGCCAACAGTAAAGTGGCTCGTCTCACACTAAAAGGAACCACCGATCACAATTCTGTCACCCAAGCACGCTTCCCTCCGTCTGGGACCCCCCACGTTCCCCAGGTGGGACGTCGGAGAGACGACCCTCCAGGCCTGACGGTCAGGCTACCTGTTCTCTTCCTCCAGCTCGTCTTTCCGGGTCATCATGGCCACGATGGCTTGGCGCAGCTCGTCTGAGGGAAGAAAACACGGTTGAGATTAACCAGCAGACCCCGCGTGTTACAGCTGTCCCCTCACAGACATGCATCGAGTGCTATGGAGGGCAAGCTGTCTAGACGAGCTCCCCTTTTCCCTTTCAAGATTAATTCCTGTACAGTCTGCAAGACCCAACGGGCCCAAGCTGATCACTTCTCAGCCCCACGAAAACGGGAGGGCGGGGCCGCACGAGGAGCCTGGAGGGCTCCCCTCGGTCGGCTGCTACGGGACGAGACGGCCTTGCAGCTCCTAAACTCGCTGTTCTGAGTCCCTGCTACTGGACAACATCCGCTCTGAACAAGGATCCCCCCCACCCCCAGTTATAGCTGTTTATCAACAGAGGAGAAAGAGCCGATTGAGAGACATAGGGCTCCACGCAGACCTACAAATACTTACCCGAGTTTACAAAGAGATCTGGTCTAGTCCTACATGGCTCTCTCTAGTTCGTACACAGGCGACAGTGTAAAGGGGTTGCCTGTCCAGTGCACAGTCCGTAATTATTTATGGGGGCTACTCTTCTGGACACCTTCAACTTAAGAAAGCATGGCTAGAACACCATGCTTTTAGATTAGCCTCCGAGTTTCTGATCTGCAAACATAACTGTTGTCTCAACCCATCCTCATGTCAAAGACGTCGTTCACCTATCCCTCAGATCTCAAGACCCAGACCTTCTGGATTTGTTTTGTTTTTCAACCCCTGACAAACCTTGTGAATGGTTTCCCCCCTTGGGACTGGCTGCTAGGAAGCTCCCAGCCAAAACTGCCCATCGGGGAAGTGCTCACATCCGTGTGGCAACCACAATGTGCCCTAACCCTCCCCCGCCCCTCTTCTCCAACCTGTATCTCCACCTCGGGCCAAAGTACTCACAACCTGTGGCACGTTGCAAAGGCTATCTTAAGACGCTACTTCAAATCCTCTTTTGGAAAGAGATAGGAGTTTTGGTTTCTTCCTTTTAGTTAAAATTGAAATCCTTCGACTTGCCAAGCTCTAGTTCAGGGCCCTTGGCACTATCTCATTTAATTCTTTATGCACATCTAAGAAATGCACGTCACCATCCCTGCTCCCGGGGTATGAAGAAACTGCAGGAGTGGAAAGAGAAGTGGGGGGGGGGGAGACCAACAGGTGGGTCCTCTGGGTCCCCTCATACTCAGAATGCCCAGGGAGAAAGACGCCCGCCAAAGACCCCGAGGCAAGAAATGGGGCCACAGGACTAATGCTGTCCTCAGGCTGCAGGAGGGAAAAGGATATTCCACGGTCCGGGGCTCAGGGCAAGAAAAGGAAGGAAAGGTATTAGAGAGGCTCCTCCTCAGCCTCTAGAGGCTGCTCCATTTGGATGAGGTGGCAACAAAGAAAGAGACCGTCCTGTCTCTAAAAGCAGAGCAGTCCCCTGAGCACCACATGGACACAAGTAGGAGGTCATCACCCTGACTCCCCCATCAAGCTTCTGACGGTACGAAACCTGTGCATTGTACTGGGACAAAGTGGACCCTGTGAGGTGTCAGTGAGGAGGGAGGTCTGAGGTGTCCCTGTCCTGGGTCACTGAGGGGTCAGTGCGGAAGACCCCAAACAATCACTGGGTCGACACGTAGGCACTGAGCCCGTACAAGGTACAAGCACTCTTCTTGGTGAAGGGCAAGTGACCAGAACAGACCCACGTCTCTGCCTGCAGGAGGCCTCCTCTCTAGCAGGGGAGACAATCCAGCCAACAGGCACACGGCACCGAGGGTGGTCAGGGATGCCAAGAGGAAAGGAAAGCAAGGCCAAGGGCAAATGAGGGAACAGCAGTGTCACTGCACACGAAGTGCTCCGGAAAGGCCCCTCCGAGCAGAGCCGGCCACGCTGCTACATGGAGGAAAAACATGCCACATGGCAAAGAGCACATGCAAAGGCCCGGAGACCGGTATGAGCTTGGTCACTGGGCCAGGGGGGCGGGGGCACTCCTCCAAGGGACGGGGGTGGGGACACGGAAGAAGCAGCACACCAGAGGGCCGAATCCAGCAGACAGAGACCCTGCCAGAGTCCGGGGGCATGGAGGGAAGATGCAGCACGCCGCCCTGAGTTCTAGAAACTTCCCTTCTGGAGGACTGGATGAGAATGCCAGCACCCCCGGCAAAGCATTTGAGGCCCACGACCTCACCAGGGCCACAGAGCAACTTCACGGGTCCCTATCTTCCAGTCCTCTTACAGACACGCCAACGAGACGAAGGAGATTCAATGCCGAGAGCAGCGAATTCAAATCCAGATCTGTCCAATTCCAAACTCTGTGTTCGACCCCAGAGAACAGTTAACTGTTACGAGTCACGTGCATAGATGTAAGAACTTGGATTTTATCGACGCCTCACAGGGACATTAATCCATCTTACAGTGGAAGTGCACACTTGGCAGGTTACGTCACACAAGCACACACGTGTGAACGTCAGAGCCCTGCCCTCGGAGACGGGAACCAGCACGCAAAGCAGATAAAGCCGAGGAGCATGTACCTGCCTCAGCTGTGCCCTGCCTGGAGTTACAACAGCCCAGAGCTCACATATTCGTTCATTCATTCATCGGTCAGCACCTACTGGGCACCCAGTAGGCACAAGATACCTTCCGAAGAAGAGAGCCAGGCTCCCAACTGAACTAAGGAAGAAATGTCTTTAAAGGAGAATCTCTTAATGGAGAACAACACACATTCGCATATGCCCATCATGAAATGGTCTACAGGACTTTGTCTTCTGAACTTGACCAAGTGTCTACACTCCTGGCTCTCAGCCTCCTACCAGTGGCTCAGTGTCTCTGAGCCTTTCCCTTGTGTACAAGCAGCAAAAACAGCACCCACCTTCCCCAATTCCCTGGGGTGCTAGGATGTTCAGAGGAGCAAGGAGATGGGCAGGCCCTCGGTCGAGGCACTGACTCTTACACACTGCAGCAGGTGCATTCAGAACTCAGAAATCATCATGTTAAAAAAAAAATTATCTGGGAGTGCCTGGGAGTCTCAGTCGGTTAAGCGTCCAACTTCAGCTCAGGTCATGATCTCACAGTCCGTGAGTTCAAGCCCCACGTTGGGCTCTATGCTGACAGCTCAGAGCCTGGAGCCTCCTTCAGATTCTGTGTCTCCCCCTCTCTCTGCCCCTCCTCTGCTTGCACCCTGTCTCTGTCTCAAAAATAAAAAAAAATTTTTTAATGCTTTTATTTAATTATCTGAAAAAGCTCAAGAAAGAAAAAAAGCCACACATAAGCATAACCCAGTAATTTGTTCTATGATGGCATAGCCATGATAGGGGGCACCTGGGTGGCTCAGTCGGTTAAGCATGATGTCATAGCCATGAAAGGGGGGGGAAAAAAAAAGACTTATTAAGACCAGGATAAGATCTGTCTTTCTCTTCAAGATGCCCAGCACAAGTGGCGAGCAGCTGTGGACTGTGGACACAGACCTGGGAATCTCCTTTACTCCAACGACTGCTTGAATCCTGAATCTTCCTACAAAGCTGCCTTCCTGCTGAGGTTTTCTACTGGTCTCAGCTTTCTTACAGGGACAAAGGAAGAAGATATTCATTTGCAGGGAGTTGCCAGGAGGCTGCAAGAGTGAAATTTTTTCTTCAATAGACTTTTTAAAACCATCTCAGGTTCACAGCAGATTGCAAAGTACACAGATTTTCCAGGCACCCTCTGCCCCCCCACAATCCCAGCCTCCCCCACTGTCAGCATCCCCACCACAGAGGGGCATTTGTTATGCTTCATGAACTCCCACAGACACATCATAACCACCCAAAGGGGACTTGTAGATCACAGGAGTTTGGAACATTGTAGGGACATGTATCCACCGTTATAGTAACACACAACATAGTTTTACTGCCTGGCCAAATCCCTTGGGCTCCGCCCATTTATCCCTTTCTCCCCGAACCCCTGCTGAAATCTTCCGTGAATCAGAGAATCTCCACTCGACCCATCAGCCTTCCATTCGGAAGTTGCACATCACACACAGGTGGGACTGATGCTAACAAACCACTTGCTCTGGATCTAAGCCGAACTCTGCCGAGCCCATGTGCACAGCAGGGCCTCCCCACCGCCAGAGTGCTCAGCACAGGGTGCCCCCGACTGCTCAGTCCACCGGCTCTGCTCGCCTCTGCAGGAGGGAGCCCTTCATCACCCAGAAACATGATCCTTATGCTGAGCGGTTTGCATCAGGCCCCTCCTGGTGTCACCAGGCATCGCCAGCCTCTGTACCTGGCCTCACCTGCACGGACAGCAGCCTCTGACCAGGTTTCCTGAGAGACCCTGTCGATTTTAACTATTTTGACCCTATCCATGAACTGGTTCATGGATTTCATGGACGGAACCCGTCTTTTCTCAAGTTCATGCCCAACTTCCAGTCTGATAAAACCCAACTCCTTTATTCGGGTTCAGACGAAAAGGTGTCATGTCCAGGAAGCCCTCTGTGACTTCCCTAACCCTCAACAAGTTGCAGAGTGTGCAGTAAGTAACCACCTGTCTCCTGCACTTAACTCACAACTCCTTATAGACATACAACATGTCAGGCATCTTGGGTCCCCAGAGGCCCAACAAGTCGGGTGCTTGGTCAAGGTTCACGGAAAAGGAGTGATCCAGAGAGACTATTCATATCCAACGACAATACCCCTGAAACTAACAAGAGTATTAGCGGCTACGTGATGAGTACTTTCTACGTGCAAAGTCTCAGCACCTGACAAGCCTTGTTTCAGTTTTCAC